CACATAGGAGTTCTGGAACCAGTTCCCGACAGATGCTGAGGGGTGACTGTATTTGCATATATCCTATACACATCCTCTTGTAAACTTTATATAATCTCTAGATTATTTATAATACTGAATATTTAGTATATTGTATTGGTTTTTCCATTTGTATTTTTTTATTGTATTATTTAATTTTTTCTCTAAATATTTTCAATTTGCAGATGCAGAAGGGTGGACTGTGTATGCAACATCCCAAGTTATTTAGTTTATGGGCAAACTGGTGCTAGAATGCAGAGCTTGGTTCTGTTTTATCCATTCACTTAATAACACCTATCTATCAGACATCTCCTATGTTTTGGTATTGCCTTAGGTACTGGAGATACAGTGATAAGTAACGTTACATTGCATGAGAAATTTGCAGATAGTAAGGCATTGTGCCTACCAAAAAGAATCTTCTTAGATACTCTTTGCATCAGAGGAACTCAAAGAGCTAGAATAAAATAGAATATTAGAAAATAGTCACAATAAAGCAACAAAAAGCACTTTGAGCACACAGGGGAGGGAGGATTTTCCTGATCCGGGCTTGAGGCTGAGCTTCCTGAGGGACTAGGGTGGAAGAACAGATGACACTTTTGAGAGGAAATAATGAGGGTGGAAGAGGACGTTTTTCAAGAAGAGGGAATAACTTGAGGAAAGACGAGGGAATGGGAAAGAAGATGGTGGAGACAGAGATTGGGAAGGGCTGAGGGGCACGGAGGGGTGAGCAGGGAGGCCTGGCATTTTATGATGGTCTCATCAGAGAGAGTAGTGCTGAGGCATTGGCACTTCATGCTGTAGAACACAAAGGGACATTAAAGGAGGTGGAGTACAAGAATGATGTGTGAAGTGTCCTGTATGAAGGACTAAATCGAGAGGAGGAGGAGGGGGGGAAATAAGGTGTTATTCTTTCTTAGGTGTCCTGAGTGAATGAATGTTTGAGCAACCAAACTTATAAACATTGCAGGCCAACATCTTCTAAGCATTGTTTGTGGTGCCAGACAGGAGTGAGTTAACACTGGTTCCAGCTCTTTAGGTAACTGGGAGCTCATGGTCCATTGGGGAAAACCAATATAGCCAAATAGAATACAACGTGCCTCTTGTGAGAACACAGGAGGCAGGCAATTAATTGTGTGCCGAGAAAGCAAGGGAAAACCTTAGAGAGGAGACAGCAGGTGTGCTCAGTCTAAATGGATGAGAAAGTTTGCCAGGGAGAGGAGGGGAAGAACAAGGCATTCACCCGGGCATTTGTTATTGGATGAAAGAATGAAGTATGCACACCAGAGATCACATAGAACATAGAACTTAAGAATGTACACTTTAAACTCAGACTTTGGATCAAAATGCCACTCCTCTACTTCCCATTGTATGGGCTTGAGCTATTATCGGAGACTTCCTAAGTCTCAGTCTCTTTATCTGCTGTACAGCTGCAGTGGGGTTATGCACGCAAAGCCCTTATCTCAGTCCTGGCACATAGTATACGCTCAATAAATGGGAACAGTCACTGCTGAAGTCATGCAATATACAAGGTGGAAGAACCATCTGAGGTCATCTGGTCCAGCCATTAGCCAATACAGGCATTCCCTCCACTCTTCCCTGACAGGTAGCTGCTCTACAATTATCTATGGGATGAGGGGGCTCCCTGCTGTGCAGGAAGCCCACTACAGGGCTGTGTACTTTAAGTCCTGAACAATTCTTTCTATTGGCCTCCAGTGGGTTAAGCACTAGCCACTGATTCCAGTTTTTCTCCCTAGAGGATAATGGAAAACAGTAACCGTATATTTTACATGACAGATCTTCAGATATTTGAGGACACATCTCACAATTCACTGAAGTTTGCTGTTTTCATAGTCAGCACCTCCAGATCATCTGTCATTTTGTCAAAAGAAGGATGCCCATTCTGCTTACCCTATACTTTTCCATGATACATCTTAAAGAGACTCTAGAATTAAATAATATATAAACAACACAAAATGGAGAGACCCTCTCACACCTTCATCCTGTGACCAGAGACTGCAGAAGTCTTTTTAGCAGCATCTTCACTGGGCCTCTTATTTACTAGTAAATGAACGCTGGCCTTTCCACAGTAGTAGTAGTTAAGTCATTCCTTCATCTTCTACTTGTGCAAGTTATCTTTTTCATAATCCAATTCAAGACTTTATATATATCTTGTTAAATATCACCTTATTTATTTTGTCCCATTATGGGGACATCGTCTGAATATTTTATCTGGCTGATGCATTTCTCCTAACTCTGAGATTTCTGCAGAATTGATAAAGCGAGCATCCGTACATTTATGTGATATTAGAAAGCAAAGTGTCAGATGGAACTGGACACGGAAGAAAGCCATCTGGCCCATCATTAGGGACCTTTCTCATCCTTTGGATGAAGCCGACTCTTACTGGAACCATCCAGCCCACCTTGCTATATCTTGTCGATGAGGCTGTTACAGAAATGACCAAGGTCAAAATAATTTCCTAAAATCAAGCTCCATAACGTCTGTTATGTTCATTGGTACTATAAACCTTGCAACTCTACCCAGAAAAAGAAATGGTATTTGTTTTTCACAGCTTCTCAGTGAATACTAATGGTTCCTAGTCATCTCAAATTCTTTCTAAATACAATTTTTTAAATAATTGTTTCTAGAACTTTGACAAGGATCATAAGTCATGTTTATTTTCCATATGAAAAGTGGGAAATATGCTCCAAAACCTCTTTTGGTTCCAAAATTTTCCATGAGTTTTTAAAGACTAAGGTCATATGTGCAAGCTCACTCTTCTCTCCCTCCTTCCCTCCTTCCCTCCTTCACTCCTTCCTTCCTTCCTTCCTTCCTTCCTTCCTTCCTTCCTTCCTTCCTTCTTCCTTCCTTCCTCCCTCCCTCCCTCCCTCCCTCTCTCTTTCAACTGTATCTCGCCCTGTTGCCCAGGCTGAAGTACAGTGGCATGATCTCAGCTCACTTTAACCTTTGCCCCCATGTTCAAGAGATTCTCCTGCCTCAGCCTCCTGAGTAGCTGGGATTACAGGTGTGTGCCACTATGCCTAACTAATTTTTGTGTTTTTAGTAGAGATGGGGTTTTGCCATGTTACCCAGGCTGGTCTTCAACTCCTGGGCTCAAGCGATCCACCTGCCTCAGCCTCCCAAAGTGGTGGTATTACAAGTGCGAGCTATCATGCCCAGTCAATGTATAAGATATTTAAAAATCCGGAGCTTAATTCAGCAACTTCTGATTGAGTAATGCTACATCCAAGACACTGCTCTATGTTTCACCTTTCACCTGGGCATATGGCTCTCATTTTTTCCACTTATCTAGATTCAATCCCTTCCAGATATTTGTTTAATGTTTCTAGATTGAGGATCATTTTTCCTTGATAAACAGAAAAGCTGAGAGCTGAGAATTCTGCCTTTCCTCATCATCTAACATTATACCATCTGCCACACACACTGGGCCTTTCCTTCCTTGTTCTCAATCCAAAAGAAACAGCTTTCAAGACACTATTTTGCTGTCTTTAGAGCATTTTTTGTTGTTGTTTTTCAGATTCAGCCTCTTTGCTGCATTATGCCTACAAGTTCTAGCTGGATTTTTATCCTGGATTACATGTCCTTTTCTCAATCTTAGGTGTCCTAAAATCTGGCCTGTTAAGAGAGTTGCCTGTGCTGCCACACTGATTCCCCTTGACACTGTACTTGACAAACACCAGTTGAACAGAATCACTCAAGTTGATTCTTTTTTCAGTGGAATAACTTGCAATTATATTGGCTACGGTTTATTTTTTTTCTTAATGGGATGAAGTTTCACTCTTGTTGCCAAGGCTGGAGTGCAATGGTGTGATCTCAGCTCACCTCAACAACTGCCTCCTAGGTTCAAGTGATTCTCCTGCCTCAGTCTCTCAAGTAGCTGAGATTACAGGTGTCCGCACCATTCTCAGCTAATTTCTGTATTTCTAGTAGAGCTAGGGTTTTACCATATTGGTCAGGCTGGTCTTGAATTCCTGACCTCAGGTGATCCACCCACCTTGGCCTCCCAAAGTGCTGAGATTACAGGCGTGAGCTACGACACCAGCCTATTCTTTAGAGTTTCCCTTCCTTCAGTAGTAAAAAGCCGTTTGGGGGGGTCTTTGCATGTGAAATCAAGTGCAGGGTTCCAGGGAATCTGCTTTCCCAAAGTGTTGGGTTCAGGGGACTGTGCCCAGCTCAGCCTTGCCTTGCTCTCCACTCCAACCATGCACCAAGAGGTTCCTCTATGATTCCATTAACTCCCTAGTCAGATTTCTTCCTGTGGGTCCTGAGGAAGTCAGCATTGCCCTCACTATAAATGCAATAGAACAAAGTGAAAGAAGCATGGGCTTTGAAGTCAATCAGACCTTGCTCTGCCACTTAGAAATGTGTGACTTTGAGCACGGAACCTCACATCTCTCTGCCTCAGTCTCCTATTGTGGAAAATGGGGATGGTAAGGACAGTACCTACCTTATAAATTGGATTAAATGAGCTGATGCATGTAAAATGCTTAGCATTGTGCTTGGCACATAGTAAACACTCAGTAAACTGTACCATTGTTATTCTGACCTTGCCATTTCTTCCAACATCTAGTTCTATGGTTCAACATGGATTATCTTCTGTTCACCTTTAGAATTCAGTAGAGTGTAACCTCTGCCTTGATTATACATGGCCAAACTTTATTTTGTAACACAGCTTGAAGTTAACAAAAACTCATAAGTAATAATTATATTTTTGGCTTCATGTAAATGAAAAAGTCATGTGGCTGTGTGGATCATCTGCACTTCTTGGGAAGACATAAGCACCTGGTACCTATGCGGATGCTTTGCTCATCTCCATCTCCATCTGGTCCCCTGGCTGCTGGTGCAAAGAAAGCCCTTTCAAGGCACAGCTGGGACTCATGACCAGCTAGGAACCAAGATTCAGCCGCAATGGGGCAGCCAAAATGCAAGCAGCCTCTGGCTGTGACTAGAATGGCCCAGTTCTCCAGCGCTTTCTTCCTCTCATCCTCTGCCTGGGTCCACTATCAACTGGCTCTTCAGTTGCTCCCGTGTCGTCACCTCATGCCTTTTCCTGCATAAAATGTAAGTATCCCACTTGCTGAGGTGAAATGATCAAAACCCAACACAAAGTGACTTTTTAGGTCTCAAAATTGCAAAGCACATTATGTCACTTCCAACCACCAAGCCTGGTAAATCTTAGTCCCTGCATTAGGGTGACTGGCATGTAAAGGTCAGTAACTTTTTTCTTTTTCTTTTTCTTTCTTTCTTTCTTTTTTTTTTTTTTTTTGAGACAGAATCTCACTCTGATGCCCAGGCTAGAGTGCAGGGGCCTAATTTCAGCTCACCACAACCTCCTCCTCCCGGGTTTGAGTGATTCTTTCACCTCAGTCTTCCAAGTAGCTGGCACTACAGGCACACGCCACCATGCCTGGCTAATTTTTATGTTTTTAGTAGAGATGGGGTTTCACCATGTTGGTCAGGCTGGTCTTGAACTCCTGAACTCAGGTGATCTGCCTGCATTGGCCTCCAAAGGTGATGGGATTACAGGCATAAGCCACCATGCCAGGCCAATCACTTTTCTTGGAATGAATAGTAGTAGAGAAAAAAATAAACTATTCTATAAACTCTTTTTTTTTTTAAGCCATTTTCTTTCGTAGGTAATGCTGAAGACTTCTCTGATTATGTATCGGTATGTTTTTTTCCAAGTTGGGTCTTATTTTGTCGTGTGGTTCATAACTATTTCTTTTGATGTGATTTTGTACCTCCTTAGAATCTGTGAGAAGTCCTAATTCAGTATTTGCTGCAATTTTGTTGATGTACTCTTCATCCTCACTGATGGTCTGGGGGCTTCAGGGCGCTTTAGAGAAAGTGGAGCAGGAACTCTCAACGGCACTGTGCAGGGCCTCTCCCCTGGACTGGCTGCGTTTCAGCCCCTGCCTTTTGTTCTCTGGTCTGTGGTCAGCGCTCCACTCTGGTGCTCATGCACAGACCTGTTTCATTCAAGTCTCTACCAACCTTCATACCCAGAGCTCTGGGGATGTCTGCCTCCCACAGGCTCCTTACCCAGACTGATGCAACTCCAGAAAGCTGTGCTGTGGATCTGGCCTGATTCAGTCTTGACAAGCCCAGGATGCTAATAGCTACTCACAATTCCATTCTGGGAGCCAGAGTGTGGCAGCTAAAAAACAAAAATTCAAATCTTTTCTTTTGAAATTACTTCTTGTTTTATTTGAAACTGTTTATTTTTTAGAAACAAAAAAGAATTAGTTTTTCCTAACTTTGGGCTTTATTGAAATTATATTATACTGCATATATTCTTCTTCCAAAACTTGTTTTAAATTTAAAATTATGTTGTAAAAAGGCATCCATGTCACTCATTCATTTTCACTGCTCTCTATATAATATTCAGTTGTATGACTATACCACAAATTATCCATTTTCCTATTAATGGATGTCTGAGTTGTTCTTAGAATTCTGCTATTATGATTGATGCTGTTATAAGCATTCTTGTATGTCTCTTTTGGCCCATGTGGGTAAGAGATTCTTTTGAATATGTATTAGGAATGAAATTCTTAAATTGTAGGGTATACACAGATTCAACTTTACAGCCTAAAGCCAAATTATTTTCCAAAGTGTTGTGACAATTTATGCTCCTACTAACATTGAATAAGAGTGAAACTTGTCCCTCACCCTTGCCAAATACTTAGTATTATCAGATTTTTAAAGTTTTGATAATTTAAGTTTTCAATAGTTTACTATAGTATGAATTTGTATGTTCCTGTCTTTTTCATAGATTTATTGAACATTTAGTATTCTTCTGTGAAAAGTATATTTATGCCATTTATCTATATTTATATTGGGTTGTTTGCCTATTTCTTACTGATTTGTAAGAGTAAGAATATCCTAGAATGCTGATTCTTTTTTGGTTATATTTTTTGCAAACACAGTTGACAATCTATATCTGAGGGTTTTACATCCTCAGATTCAACCAACTGTGGATTGAAAATATTCTGGAAAAAAAAAGATGATTGTGTCTGTACTGATCATATACAGACTTTTTTTCTTGTCATTATTCCCTAAACAATATGGTATAACAACTATTTACACACTTACATTGTATTCAGTATTACAAATAATCTGGAGATGATTTCAAGTATGCAACAGTACGTGCATAGGTTGTATGCAGTTACTATGCCATTTTATATCAGGGACTTGAGCACCCTCAAATTTTGGTATCTTCAGGGGTTCTGGAACAAATCCTCTGTGGATAACAGAGTGTGACTGTTTATTTTCCAAATGAGTGGCTTTTCATTTCCTTTAGAGTATCTATTGACTGACAACCTGAGGTCAAAAAAAGGTTCTTCTTAACATCTCAAGTTTCAATTTTCACATTAAAGTCCTTAATCTTTATGGAATTGATTTGTTTGTATGGTACAAAACAAGACTCAATTTTGTTTTTTCCTTAGAAATCAGTTGTCTCAGAATCACTTACTTCCTGTGATCTCTAATGCTACTGCTGGCTTATATCAACTTTTCACATATATGAGATTATATTTGTGTTCTTTGGTGACTTTCAGCAAAGTATTAAAATTGGCTCCATAAGACAGTGCATGTTTTTTGTTAGATTTACTCCTAGGTATCTTACATATTTTTCTGTTAATGTAAGTGACATCTTCGTTGCTTTATTTTCTAGGTGTTTGATGCTAAGATATTGAAATGCAATTAATTTTTCTAGTTTGAGCTTATATCCAGTCACTGTGATTCAGGTCCTTATTATTTTTAATAGTTTACTTGTACATTTTGGTGAATTTTTCAGATAGAAAAAATCCTCGCATCTGTATACAACAAATTTTTTTTCTTCCTTTCCAAGCCTCTTGCCTTTCCCTGCCTTGTCTTACCACACTGGTTGGGATCTCCTGCACAATGTTAAATAGAAGACAGAAGAGTAGGCAATATTATTTAATTACTGATTTTTAAAGAAATGCTTCTATTTAACAGTGATGTTTGCTGCATAGTTTTGGAAGACATGTTTCAAATTAAGAAAGTTCTATCCTGTTCTATTGCTTTTTTTGGCTAAAAGTTTTTAGCAAATGGGTGTTGATTTCGTCAAATGATTTTCCTTCTTCTATTGAAAAGACCATAAGATTTTCCTCTTTAATTTTTCAATATAGTACTTGTAAAATCACCCTTAGATTGCCAGATTTAAAAATTAATGGGATTAAGTGTTCATTAAATTCTTTTATCTTTTTGAATATTTGCTGTATCCGTGGTTGCATCTGCCCTTTTCATTTCTTATTTCTATCTTCTATCTTATTTTTAAAAGAAAAACAATTTATTTAAGATGGTCAGCTTTAGTCTTTTATTGGTTTGTTCAATATTTGGCTTGCAATGAAGCCATGGACTTCCTACAGAATGATCAGTGAAGCTGGAAACTTATTACTCCTGGCCATTTTCTATAAGGTTGGTGTCCTTTTCTGACAATATCTCATTATATTATGTGACAAAATAATATTATCTGTATTTCCATGTTCATGGCTACCTGTATTTAGAGACTCCTCTAGAATCACAGAGGGATGGCAACCCTTCCCCTGCTCTGCTGACCTATGAATGCACAGTAACCAGATGTGTCTAATGATGAATGAGAGGGTGCAACCTTTAACCCACTGCCTTCTAGTACCTTTTGAGAGCAAACAGTTACAGAAGGAAACCTAAAGAATATCTATTTCCTAAAACCCATTCCCAAATTGTGGCACACTGTCAGAGAGGCATGGCTTGAAACCCATAGTCTGCTAACTTTGTTGAACAGCTTTTATTGCATTGCTGTTTTGGGGGGCAGGCAGTGGCGGGGGTGCGGGAGTGGCAACAATGAGTTCTCATTTAGATCTTTGTTTGGGCCAGGCATGCAAAATTCATGTATTACAAATATTTATAGAAACCAGCTTAAATCTCTTTTAGGGAGTATAGTTACAAATGAATGTGAAAGAATTAACAAACAAATAAATATAATTTGAGAAGTCATTGACCATCCAGCTGTGTTCTACAATAACAGGGTTATAAAAGAAAAGGGAAGAAATATTTTTGAATGCCTATTGTATTTCAGGCCCTTTTCTGGATGCTTTATTAATGTTCTATCATGTAATCTTTTCTTCACAGCATCCCTGTGAGTATTATCCCTATGGTATTATTCATCCCATTTTACGGATGAGAAGAAAATTTGGCAGAAAAGTAAATAATTGTGTAAGGATTACATTGGGATTCATACTCAAGAATGTCTGACTCTAATGCCTGTGCTCTATCCAGGACACCTCGCTGTTACGTTATCCAGGAATTTTTATTCCTTGGCTCCTGAGCAGCAGCGAAAACCACGAAGTCTAAGCCAAACTACTTCCCCAGTCCTGGTGAGGCTTTCATTGGCATTTCTCATCATAATGTGTGCTCCTGCTGCCACCTGCTGGCAGCTTGCGCATCCTGCTTTTTCTTGGTAAACAGTATCGGGAAAGGAGAAACCATCCGGCTCCAAAAAAGGCAAGAAGCTCCATGCAGACAAATAGCTAGTAAATCGTCCCCAAAGCTGGTAAAGCTATAAGGGAATAATAATTGTCATCAAACTCCCCTGGGGAGAAATCCTTTCTTCTTCGAGTTACTCAGTTTTCATCAGATTCCAGGTATTGAAAGCAAGCCCAGATTGTGTTATCCAGATCATTTAAATATGAATGGTGGTCTCTTCTAGATTGGGGTATTCCATGCCCCTAGTATGTAACACTGATCATCATATTGACAAGCAATAGCCAGCAGGTGACAAACAGTGCCTCAACCAAGAAGAGTCTAAGTGGCTGTAAAGCTGGGCTTAGCCTCCTACCATAAGGTAGTAGGGCCCCCAGGAATCGGGTCACTGCATATCCCAGTCTTTTACCTGGGCATCTGGGACCAAGATGGGACTCTCTTCCCTTTGTCAAAGACAACACACACACACGCACACGCACACGCACACGCACACACGCACACACGCACACATACACACACAAGCATGAGTCCACGTCCTGCAAAACATAATGATTTGTCATCTGGGGTGGATTGTTAGATTTTTGTTTTTCTTTGTTTCCCTTTCCTTGACAAAATGGGGAAAAACCCTTCCCAGGGCGGGAGAGCTTATTTCTGACTGCTGGAAAAAAAGAAAGCGGGAATTGTTGTCAGGACAATGAGGAGCTCATCAAAGCCTCATTTTGCTCATCAGCGATCGCTGCCCTCCGTCCTGCACCCCCGCATGTTCCTCTAATTCAATGCCCGCCTAATGAATAACTCCCAGAACAAAAGCCCCTTTCAGGCTGCCTACATAATTATCAGAGGAGCCTTGCATAACTGTCTCAGGCTACTCATGTTTTCAGGTCTGTCTCTAAATTTGGTTATTCACAACCTTTATAGCTCAATATTATTGCCTAACTGTGATCATTTTCTAATTATCCTAATAATACCTATTAAATAATTCCCATTAAATCACTTGAACCGGAGCAGCACAGGCCAGCTCAAATACAACTTAACCTAATAAGCATTGGTCATTCATTAAGCAACAGGGCAATCTCTTAAAAGGACTGAATAGAATATTAAACCACCAAGGAATATTATTATTGCACAAATGTTATTACAGGTTAGAGTATATTAATTTTGGTGCCTGGTTTGCAAAACTTCCGTTTGGTTGCTTTTGAGGCCACTCTCCGTGACTTGACTCTTTCAGTCTCCAGTCCCTTGTTGATCTGCATCTGTCACCCACACAAGGACAATCAAGGGAAAAAAGCCCATAAACTTAACAGGGGAATTAAATTACCAAGGGAATGAATGGAATCCATCTTCTGGCTGGCTAGGCACACCTCTGAAACATCACAAGCTGGCCAGATTCCTTTTGCTAGAACTCAAAATAGCTCTCTCTTTCCTTCCTTTTTTTCATATTTGGAGATGAGGAGGATTTTCAGAAGATGCTTTACAATTTTGGTTTCTATCATTTAAATTTCAAGCAGTAAAAATTAGACAAATTCTTTAAAAGAAGATATGTGTGGACACTTAGTAATATTTTGTAAAATGATATGAGGTAATGTTTACGAAATGCCTACAATGTAATCAGTGCTCTGGCAGAGACTCTGCCCATCAACACACCTAATCCTCAAAATGACCTGGTAACATGGGGATAATAATCTTCATTTTTCAGATAAGAAATCTAGGGCCAGAGAGGTTAAGTGATTTACCCAGGACTAGTCAGCCTAAGTGGAGTGGAAGAGAATTTGAACACAGGGCTTGCTGGCGCCCATAGCTCCGCACTTCCCACTATGCCACCTGCTGGCCTGCGTTGCTGGCAGCAAACTGAAGCACGCCCTGGCTTTTCTGGTTTTTCCTTTTTCTTTCTAAGGCGGTCACTGAGATCAGCGGATTCCCAAAGACAAGGACCAGAGCCTTCTGGACTGGGGATATGATCAAACGCCTAACGAGGGCGGTTCATTCTACTGAAAGTCCCGCAGCAGCTGTAGAGATAGACGGTGACTCTCAGTCCAAGCAGCAAGAAACTCTTCGTATTTGTAATAAGCCAACTTCATGTGATAAGCCTTATTTGTAATAAGCCTACAAATGAGCAAATTTGGGTCATCTATGCAAGGAAATCCAGTGCATTTTAGTAAAAAATAAAATAAAATAAAAACAAATATTGATTAATCATCTGCTCCATGCCAGGCACTGGGCTATGGGTATTACATAAATTGTTTAAGCTAATCTTCACCACAAATACAAGAAACAAGTATTATTATCACTCCTAATTTACCGACAAGGAAACTGAGGCACAGAAGAGGTAAAGTCTGACTCCAGCATTTCCCTGAAATCTAGTGCTAAATTAACCAGGCAGTTAATGAAACTGAAACCTCAGGACCCCTTACTTGGATGGGTCCTTGCAAGGTTTTGGAAGCAGCCCTCACAATTTTACATGCATGACTTTGCATGAACTCCAGGCCTCGGGAAATCTTGGTCTGCCCCTGCTAGTGTCAGCACTCTCAAATAACTGAACTGTTAAAGAACTGAAATCCTACATTTCACTTGTTAAGTAACAAGTAACCTGTTTATATTATTGCACATTATTTCAGTGCTCGGTTTTTCACCTTTTATATCCCAAATACTGAAGGCTGAAAACATCCATCACAAAACTAAAGAGACAATACTCCCAACAAACTCTTAGGGTCCTCCAATTCATTAGCCACACCCCTACTGGAAGATTTCTGAACATGTAAATTTCTTTCAGCCATTCCTTACCTGAAAACCCTTCACTGGCTCATTTGTGAAGATATTTCAGGTCTTTTCACATTTGAGCTTTGCAGGTGCTGTTCCCTCTGTTAGAACAATCTTTTTCTCTTCACTGGTTAACTCTTGCTCCTTCTCTGGTTCTCATCTTATAGATCACCCCTTCCTGGAAGCCTAGCCTGATGGCTCTCCTTGCCCCAAGATCAGTTAGGAACCTCTTAGTTCTGTCCACATTGTACCCTAATGCTTGTTCCTATCACAGAATTAGAATACATACTGTATTGTGACTTATCTCTTTACCTATGTGTGTCTCTCAATGGACTATAAACTTCTCAAGGTAGAAACTGTGTCATATTCATTGTTATCTCATGCTCGGTAGGTCTTCACCAGATGAGTTCTGTTTGAATCTAAGAATCCGAAGCTATCACTGGAATAACTACCACTTACTGCTTTACCTTGGGCCAGGCAATGTGTTACCTAACCATCATACGTAATTTCCTCTTTAATCCTTTTATCAGTTCTATAAAGGAGAAAATCACTATTATCCTCATTTTAGATGAGAAAATGAAGAAGTATAAGGGTTTATAACATGACTGGCCCGAGGTCATACAGGTAGTAAAGGAAAAACCAGGACATTGACTCTCACTCTGGGCTTTGAATTACTACCAACCTTACTCCAATACCCACATATTTCTCCTGAATTTATCTTAACCCCTGAATTGTAAAGAACATTTGTGTTAGCCAGTGGAGAGGTGGGGCTGAACAGAAACCCAGTTATAAGGCCTGTGGGCTGACCAATGGTCCTGGGAATTTCAAATTGGGCCAATAGTTTGATTTTTATGCTTGATCTTGGCCAAAAGGCCGAGAAGCAATAATGTGATGTTTAAAGTGTGCAGCAGTTGTGGATTTAGCACATGTCCATGCTGACAGATCCCCAGCAGGTGACAAGGTCTGTTTTGCTCAGATGGTCAGACTAGCACTATTCTCAGACCATGCCCACTGCCCAAGATCTGCTAGGATGCCGTACCTGCTTCTCCTCGCAATGCCTTCTCCAGCCTCACACCCTGGATCTCAGAAGCCCTCTGCCGCTCCTCCACCTCCTCCAGCTGCCTCTGGATGGCCTGCAACACCAGGATCACATGTCACACAAATACTCTCCACATAGAGTCCTAAGAGGAGCAGATTCTGCCACTTCCTTTCCAGGAAAAAGAGGCCCTTTCACTTGTGATGGTCCTGTCTTGAGTAACTAAGCAAGGACCTCTGAATTCCCAGACACGTATATCCTGATGTTTCCCTTCCTAAGTATGCAACATAAAGCAAGGAATCTGTGTGTATGTTCAACTGGCCCCAAAGTGGACATTAAAACAGTCCCCTTAGACAACGTCAATCACAGATGTCCTCCAAGACAGAGGCTGTTGGGTGAGGTGGGCAGTCGTCACGGCTCCTGGACTCCTTGGAGCCCACAGCCACTGACTGTGGCTGTGGCATAATGTTGAAGCTGCAGCCCCTATTCAGAGTGGGGTAGTGGGTCCTGGGGCAAACTCAATATGTGCATAATCTCTTTTCCCCAAGAAGAACCAGCCTATACCTCCTAAGGAGGCACTCTGGAGCAAGAGACCTGGGCCAGCTTCTGGGGTTTCATGCTCCTGTTTCAGATTGTCCTGCTCCTATCCTTAGCTACAAATTGTATGTGGACTTTCACTGCACCATGGGCACATGCCCAGCATTCTTTCACTGTGGAAGTGTACTGTGGCTTTGTTACTAGCAGATTATTAAGACAAGACACAAGATGTTTAACTCATTAGGGGATAACATCATATCTCCTTAGGCTCCTTATAGGCACCTATTAAGGTCTGGGGTCATGATTGGATTGGCATTTAGATATTTATTTTCCCTACTAACTATTAATCTCTTGTGTATGGTAGAAAGAAAAGTTAGGGGCCAGGTGCGGTGGCACACGCCTGTAATCCCAGCTCTTTGGGAGGCTGAGGTGGCAGATCACAAGGTCAGGAGTTTGAAATCGGTCTGTTCAACGTAGTGAAACCCAGTCTCCACTAAAAATACAAAAAATTAGCCAGGCCTGTAATCTCAGCTACTCGGGAGGCTGAGGCAGGAGAATTGCTTGAACCCGGGAGGTGGATGTTGCAGTGAGATGAGATCATGCCACTGCACTCCAGCCTGGGCAACAGTGCAAGACTCCGTCTCAAAAAAAAAAAAAAAAAAAAAAAAAAAAAAAAAAAAAAAGTGGAAGTAAGTTATGGAAAAGCCTTTCCTATATAAATTTTGTTCATCCCCATCCATTTTCTCTGCTTTCAAATACCACGCTGTCAAAGGCATATCCCTTGGCAAGATAGACTTTGCACCTGGCAGACCAGGTATATTCAAGGAACTGTCAGCTATTTGGGCAGGCAGAATGCCTGTGTTCCTCCTTTGTTTTACTTCAGCTCTGTCTCATTCCCCTTCCTCCTTAACCCCATGTCTTTCTAAATTGCCCCTGAAATCACAAGTACAGAGCCAAGGACCCTCAAACCCTGTAAAGAGACCCAAGCAGGGAGGGGTGGGGCCTGCACAGCCACCCAGCTCTTCTTGTCTCAGCTATGAGTCTTTAAGTTCCAACATAAAATCTGAAATAGATGGAAAGTCTACTTAAAGCTACTGGTAATTTCATGTCCTCTTCCTGTCTCTCCCTTAAAGACAATGATATCTTTATAAATCCATCTCTTGCCGGCATGCTGTAGAACAGCTAAAGAAGGGAAGCACCTAAATGACTTTATTACTGATCACTGTGCAGTTACAGCTATGTGGCTCTTAGGGACTGAATTGTGTCCCACTCCAAATGTGTACATTGAAGCCCTAACCCCCAATGTGACTGTATTTGGAGATAGAGCCTTTGAGGAGGTAATTAAGGTTAAATGAAGTTCTTTTTTTTTTTTTAAGTTTATTATAATTTATTTTATTTAACAATCTAGAAAGTTCGCAGCCATCAGCAGTTGTGCAATTTCAGGTGCAATTGGGAATTCAGGAATCTCAGTAGAGCTGTTAGTGTAGCGAACCTTGTACGTAAAATACATGCATACTTTTGATAGCACATGTGAAGGTATCTCTCTAAAATTGACCTCATTGGTTTCGTTCTCAGTAAATTGACCTGGGCCACTCAACATGGCTTTTATTGTGCCTGATGTTAAGCATGTTCTCTTTTTACAATAAATTCATGGCCATCAGATGATATCAATTTGACACACATGGCATCAGGGCCTTCACAGCCACCATAGGTTTTCTCCTCTCCATCCATTTTGTTCTTTTGAAAAATTCTACTTTGCTTCCCCAGGAACTTTAGCAGTTTCTCGTCAGCCCAGCAGCCACCGCAGCTGGGTCCCAGCGTACCGCCACAGCCCCTATTCCTGGTTAAATGAAGTTCTAAGGTTGGAGCCCTAATCCAATATGACTGATGTCCTTATAAGAGGAAAAGACACCAGAGATACCTTTCTCTGCTCACGTGAACTCACAGAAAGATCGTGTGAGGACATAGCAAGAAGGCAGCTGCCTACAAGCCAGGAAGAGAGGTCTCACCAGGCACCAAACCCACCAGCACCTTAATCTTGGACTTCTAGGCTCCAAAACGTGAGGAAAATAAATTTCTGTTGTTTAAGCCATTCGGTCCATGGTATTTTGTTATGGCAGCCCAAGCAGACTAATACAGAGGTCATTCTATAGAAACTAAGGATGAGGCTGGGCATGGTGGCTCACACCAGTAATCTCATCATTTTGGGAAGCTGAGGTGGGGGGATCACTTGAGCTCAGGAGTTTGAGACCAGCATGGCCAACATGGTGAAACCCTCTCTACTAAAAATTCAAAAATTAGCTGGGTGTGGTAGTAGGCATCTGCAATCCCAGCTGCTCGGAGGCTGAGGCAAGAGAATCACTTGAACCCAGGAGGCAGTTGCAGTGAGCTGAGATTGCGCCACTGTACTCCAGCCTGGGCAACAGAGCAAGACTCTGTCTGAAAAAAACGAAACTAAGGATGAACGTCTCAGAGATTAAAGACGGCTGCTATGGGTGCCAGCAGGACTCAAAAGGCTATTGTAATTCTTCTCTTATTATAACCAACTGTCTGGGGTGAAAATACAAGGAAGATACACTGCCTAGTTTGCCAATCAATATCATAAGAGTTGTCTTGTTCTTGGAAGGAAAAGTTGCAGTGTTTCTAAGAAACCTGTTTTAGAGGTTGCAAGTGGACGGAAGTGACTTTTCCCCATTCGCTAGGTGAAAGAGGTAGCTCCCAAGTCAGCCACGGGGAAGGGTGAAGGAGGGTGGATTGAATGATGTCACTCTGGTCAGAAATAGTGTGTAGGATTATTAGCCAGATAAAGGGAATAACTGGAGAAAGGGATCTGAGGATATGCTGGATTCACATGAGTGGTCATTCTAAGTCCACATGTCCTATAACCCAACTCTTGTTCAAGACTAGGCTTGAGGTCCTCAGAGACATGGAGGATGCCTTGATTTTCTGCTTCATTTTGCCTGTCTGTGATGGAGTGGGGCAGAGCAACTTGGGAGGAAATGTTTGAAGTAAGGAATCAGGCCAGGAAATCCTTATTGGAATGTTAGATACTTAGGATTTCAACTAATCTGGAAATGGAGACAGCCCTTAATAGCTGTCAGTTTAGTAAAGATACTGTTGGGGAGTTGGTGGAAGGTTTGTGTCTACAGAGGACAAAACTAAGGTCACTGCTACGTGGCAGTCCGGGATGACTCCCAAAGCCAAGCACTGTCTCTTGTTCCAACCTCACATGTCTACAGATGGAGGGGTGGCTGAGAATAGGCCGTATTAACACCTGGGTTGTCCATGACCCAGAGTCCTACTGAGACTAAGCTGGGGCCTCTTTAAAACAGCCACAGATCTGGTCCCTCAGAGAAGAAGACTGACCTTTCTCCTGTGTTCCCTAATACAATACAGACTCTCAAACCTCTTTTCCATCCAGAGTCCCAGAGGACCCAGGCCCACTCACTCCTCTCCAGTTTATTTACTGACCTGAGCCTTATAGAGTCTTTTCAATTCTTCTTGCTTAACCAACTGCTTCATTGCTTTTTCCAGCTTCTTTCTTCTTCTAAGAGTCTTCTTCTCCTATGACAACAAATAGAGAAAAAAATTATGTCTGAGAAAAATGAGGTTGAAATTTACAAAATATCGTTATAGGTGTCTGCCCTTTCCCACTAATGATTCCTAGCCACTGCTTAGTTTCCAAAATAACGACATCGGTAAAACTCTCTGCAATGATAGAAATAACCTATTGCTGTGCTATCTAAAATCCGGAAGCCACTAGCTCCATGGGGTTAGTGGACACTTGAAAGGAAGTGAGTGTGAATTATGACGTGAATTTTAAATGTTATTCAATTTTAATGAATTTAAGTGTAAATTTAAGTAGCCACATGTTGCTAGTAGGTTCTGGATTTGGAAACTGCTACGTGTGTATAAGGGAGGCAGCGTATATATAGGTCTGCAGCTGGGAATTGCGATATAGAGTACTAGCTGGGTTCAGCTGAGAGAAAGAATTATACTTTACAGGGGTGCTATGATATAGCTCATGGATGAGGGGCCTGGGAGAGAGAGACAGGCAGGCAAGTAGACAGGCGTACACACACATGCTGTCTCTCTCCTACATGTAAACCAGTTAACAACTTCAAATAGTGCTTAAGTTGAGTCTACAGTGGCTAATTAAACCTGGAAATGGAGAAATGTATCATTCCAACGAACGTGTTTTTTGGCTTGAGGGAAGCCTGAGATTGCTTCTCTTCCCAACCTCACTTTGTTTACACAATTATAGCATTACTGTCACTGGGTTGTGTATGTACCTGTGCTTGTTAAAAAGAAATTCAAAACTAATGCATAGAAAGTAGAAGTCTAGATCTTGATAGTGTCACTTCCAGGTTTTAAACACAAGAGAAAAGAGAAATGACGGTGTGGCCAATTCCACATACTGGAAAGTTCAGGAGATACTTCTGATGGGAGAAATAGCAAAGACTAATGGTTGAGCGCTGGGTCCACGAAACAGGCAGAGCTTGCATCCAATCCCAGCTGAGCTGTGTGAGCTTCAGAATGTCACACAATGTTCTAAACTTCAGTGCCTTCTTTAGAGTAATGAGAAGAATTTAGTGCCTAGGATTAAATGAAATAATAAGGCTAAGCCCTTTGTAGAATACTTGAAAGAGACACGGGATAAACTCTCAATAAATAGTAATAGCATGATTTTTATTATTAACATGCTTGTTATATTTTAAATTAGCACGATTATCACTTTTTCCTGAAATCTATTTCTGATTTTTGTGTGGAGTATATATTACATATATACACACACAGACATTTGTATCTACAAAATAAATGTTCAAATTGGGCTATTTTTACTATTTGCCTTTGAGCATACACAACCTCATGTAAACTAGGATGAGGATTAAAGCATTCTACGCATTTCTTTTTAATGCTGGAAGAAACAAAAATATGAAATTTAAAAATTATTGTAGCTAGCTTGGTGCCTACAGGCTATTTTTCTGGAATTCTACTTAGGACCGCAAATCCTAAAGATCTTTTTCATCCTTGGAAGAAAATTTTGACTCTTCGAACTCAAGTTATTCCACATAGTATCATCTCTGCTTCTAGGAGGTAACTACCAGATTGACTGTCAATCACTCTGAATGGAGATTCCAGACCTTTTGCATGGGGTATTCCTCACTGGGCAGCTAGGATCTTTCTGGAAAGCTCTAGGGAAGAGGTGGTAGGGATCAATGGTAACTGTCATCCAGAGATTGTCTAACTTAGTCTATACAGAGTCAGTTCATTTATTAACAAGTGTCCCTTGAGCTTCCATTATAGTAACCTATGTAATAAATCCTCACTTTTACTAAATGCTGCATGTCAGATACTATACTAATTGATTCACGTGTCATCCCATTTATTCCTCAAATTGCACTTACTTTACAGATAAGGAAATCAAAACTCAGAGAGGAAATTAACTTGTACAAGATGATGCAATTACTAATAAGCAAAGCCAGGAGTTAGGCACAGGTAGCCTGAATCTAGTATCCACATTTCATCTACTCTATACTGCCTTTCCTTGTGCCAAATACCATTTAAACACAACAAGGCCCTACTCTAAAGTGAGACTACAGAGAAGAAATGCCAATGTTCCTTCCTAAATGAAGACCACTGAATGCAATTCCAAGGTGAAAGGTGGGGGGAATTGCCTCAAGAGCATCACGTGGTCTCAGCGCTTTCCAGCAGCAAAGCTAACAGACTCTGACTGCTTTATCAAGAGTCAGCAAAACAGAACCTAGAAAAAGAAAGTCATTTATTGCATTTTATTAAAAGTTGCTGACACATAAAAGAAGGACGCATCATTAATAAAGACACAGCCTTATGTATACAAGGCACAGTTCTTATATCCTCACTGATGATGCAGAGAGGGAAAGAAGCTAAGGGCTATGGAAGAAAAGATGCGGAAATCTGGCAGAATCAAAGACACGCTGCTGCATCACTTCCTGCCTTAGTCTCTTAGATCTAGGTGGTGGTGTGGGAGGAGAGGCAGTGGGGAACAAGGGGGAAGCAAAGGGAAGAGGCTGAGAGGACACATCCTGCCTCCGGTTTCCTGTGTAAAGGTTCATTTGAGCTGTCATGGGCTCTGTGCCACCTGGCTGGGGACACACCTGCATGGGACAGAAGAGACAAAGAAACCAGAGGACGAAAACCTCCTCTTGTTCCTTCAGTATGAGCCCTCGAGAGGTTGGAAAGAAGAAATATTGTTGCCAGCTTCCCTTCCTTTAAGAGTGGGCCAGGTCCGAAGCCAGGTGAGGCAGGCATGCTTTACTGCCTGGCAAGCTGATGTGATGGTGGGCTCTGTTCTGGACCAGCAGGAGGACAAGGAGCTATTTGTGAGACTGGTCCTAGATACCACCGTCTTGTGATTTCAGCATGTTTGGGCCATTCTATTCTTTTATTCTCCGTGTCAAGATGGCTGATGCTGGAATCTCTGCCTAATTTGAATACAGAATTAACTCAGGGTCACTCAAGGGGATGAAAGGGGCAGTAAGAAAACCACAGAAATCAATACAGCACACACACAATTCATTTGTGTTGAATACTGAACTAATCAGAGACATCATTGCTAGAAATAAGAAATTCATACATCTTTTTCCCTCAATCTCTACTCCCTCCCTCTCTCTTTCTTCCCTTCCCCTGTGTGCCCCCCATCTCTCTGTCTCTGTCTGTCTCTCTCTCTCTCTCTCTCTCTCACACACACACACACACACACACACACACACACTCACACACGTCCCAGACCCCTCCTGCCTTACTCCAAGCTGGGCCATGGGGAGTTGGAACCCCTGAGTGACTTGAGATGATGCCAAAGCTCCTAATGCCAGATATGGAAAAGTTGAGTGTATAAATAAATTTGGTTCTCCTCCTCCCTCCCCAGATCCTCACTACTCCAAAAAATAAACACGACCAGAGCAGCGAACTGCTTCTCTTTCTGCATTTTAGGTCCAACCATTCAGTAACACCCCACCCGCCCTACCACTCGTGCCAAGTACTCTACTGTCTTAGTGAAAACGCTCCAGCTTCAGTGG